AACACCAGAATTCGTACCTCCCTCGTTCCCCCCACACACACCCGCCCGTCCTCTGATGATGATGATGATGATCATGATGATGATGATGATGATGATGATGATGATGATGATGATGATGATGATGATGATGATGATGATGTTGATGGTGTTGTCCTTCTTGCGCTGAACCACCGAAATGGTTCGTGACCAACAATTGCTGGCTCGCAAAGAACTCTGTTTCAGCCCGTGGGCAACCTCGCTTGCTAATTAGCGCTTTCAAGCCGTCGCTACTACGGAGAAGCATGCAGACAAGGATTTGCGAAGCATTTCGCAGTGCACGACACACAGGGCGATGCTGCGCATTTCTCGCAGAGATCCATCTGCCTGAGGACGGGGTTACGACTTTTGAGTCGTCCCTGTTGGGGACTCGAAAGTTAAAACTAATGCGGCGAGCGCTTAGGCTGCACCCGCTCAGCTTCAAGAAGATGCGGAGTCGACCAAACTTTGCTCCACTGAAGGTGAACACGCCGGAGCCCTGCGCAGTGCCACTGCGTGCAGAAAGAGGAGACCGGATAAACGCACTGATGCCTATCTTGCACTTTCGGGCACCTATCACACTTGGTGCAGCCACGCCGCTTACGGACGACTGGCTAGCCCCTGAACTTTGCAACAGATCCGATTCTGAGCCGTCTGGGAATGTTTGCCCAGCCGTTCGCACCTGCTGACCATCGCCCTGTGCCGCGACATCTGGACAGAAGGATGGTGGAGAGAATCGTGGGGGAGGAAGGCCCACTGCGAGCTCCGGCTTACGTGCGCGCTCAAATCCAATGCTCCCCTTGAAATCCCCTCGCCCAAGTCCAAGAATGGCATGCATTCAAAGCTGGTGATTACTACCCCCGCCCCCAAAAGGATGAGCCGCATTGGACGGGTCCTTAAGGGAAACGCTGAAGACCCTGAAGGAACGTCGTGCACATCGAAAACATCATCCTTCAAGTGGACGTAGCACCGACGCCCCGCTGACTCCATGTACGAATAACAGTCGAAGATTCCGTGCTCAACAATCTGATATGCCACTTTGGATGCCTCACCGGAGAACAAATACCCCAATCCAAGATCCACACACGATTTGGTAGACGCATCTGGCGCCATACATCCTAACGACCTGGCTTCCAAGGAACGACTTCAGTGTCCGCTCCTTCGAATCGTGCCCAAGATGCCCCAAAGACGGCCTCAAGAGGAGCCCAAAAAGGGCTCGTGGAGGCCTCCAGAACCCTCACGAGGCTCCAAGAGAGCCCACGACGGCTCAAGAAGCCTCGAAGATGCCCCAACGGAGCTGCCAAGAAGTCCAAAGAGGCAATGTTTTTAAGGGGGGCCCGCAGTGGTTTCCGCTCTGCAGGTTTGATCAAGCCTCGTCAGGACACAAGACGTGTCGGTGGGGCTGGGCTGGGCGTTTCGTCCAAGATTCCCTTGCAGCTTACGGCGGCGCCCCAGCAGCTGGAGAGCGATTCCTCTGATACGGGTAGCCCCCGCTTGAGACAAACTCGAGGTGTGCGACAGTACAGACCGCACCGTAAACCTCGCACAACTGATGCACAAAGGGAGTGGGGCTCATTGTCAGCGGGGCCCTAGCCAGATACCTTCTGCGTTCGTTTCATTCCTCTTGGCACCCCGTGCACTCCCTTCTATACCCCTGGGTGGGTGTATGTGCTGCCGTTTTTGCGTGGGCCGGGCAAGTGCGTGCATGTGCGCAGCATGTGCCAGGCATGTGCCCGGCATGTGCGGGCGCTTTTGGATGAATGTTGCACTGTGCGCACGTGCCCGGGCATGTGTGGGGTTATGTACACTGGGTTGTGCTGCATGCGTTGTAACGCACATGCCCGCGCATGCCAACGCGCATGCCCGCACATGCGGAACTTGTGCGAAGGTCGTCACAGAGCGGTCAGCGGCACATGCACTTTCATGCGCTGAATCCCGCGCCCGCGCATGCTCGCACATGCCGGTGCACATGCACGCACATGCCCGCACATGCGGAACATGCGCGGAACTCGCAGATCGGTCAGTGGCACATGCACGCACTCGCCTGGACGACAGCGCGGGCCCATCACATGCACGCAGATGCGCTGGGTCCCGCGCCCGCAGATGCTCGCATATGCCGATGCACATGCACGCACATGCGTTCTCAGGTGATCAGGGCTCCCTACTACAAGAGCCTTCAGCGCTTGATGAGCTTCCAGGCCTGGGCGGGGGTCCCAAACATTCCCGCGGCAATCAGGCTCTGGCCTGGGAGATGCCGTGCCCTATTATGGTGAGGCCAGTTTCGCCTGAGACATCCTCGCAACGCTGGCCTCCGAGATGCCCTGCCACATGGTGGTCTGGCTATTTTCGCGTGAAGCATCCTCGCAACTCTGGGTTCGAGATGCCTTGCGCTGAGGTGGTCAGGCCACTGTCGCCTGAGACATCCTCGCAAGTCTGGCTTCAGAGATGCCCTGAGCTCACTTGGTCCATCCACGTTCGTCTGAGACATCCTCGCAGCTCTGGATTGCGAGATGCCCTGACCTGCGGTGGTCAACCCACGTTGGCAGTGTGGTCTGAATTCTGGATTCCGAGATGCCCTGTGCAAGTGGTCAGGTCACTTTCGCTAGAGACATCCGCGGAATTCCAACCTCAGAGATGCCCTGCGCTGAGATTGTCAGGCCACTGTCGCCTGCGACATTTTCGCAACTCTGGGTTCAGAGATGCCCTGTTGTTCATCCGCTTCCGCCTGAGACATCCTCGCAGCTCTGGTTTCCGAGATGCCCTGCGCAGGTGGTCAGGCCACCCTCGCCAGAAACATCCTCACAATTCTGACGTCGGACATGCACTGACCTTCGGTGGTCAGGTCACTCTGGCCTGAGACATCCTCGCAAGCCTTACCTCGAAGATGCCATGCCCTATGGTGATCCAGCCGCTTTCGCCTGAGACATTCGCGCAACTCTGGGTTCTGAAATTCCTTGAACCCAAATGGTAAGGCCACTGTCGCCTGAGACACCCTCACAATGCTGACCTCGGATGTGCCCCCCCACACGAGGTGCCAACAGTCCTTGCAGGCCTCGATCTGCATGAGGGCTGTGCCGAAGGGGGCGCCGAGAGTTTCCCGGAAGCGTGATGTCCCATAGGACGCCTCGCTGTCTCACGAGACGCCTCACATTTAATTTGAATGCGAGCTTGGTGTCCGTTAGGGTCGTCGCTTGCCTGGCCCAGCCTGTGCATATGCTGTGCGTGGCATGTGCGGAACGTGCAACAAAGCGAGGGCCGGCCAGGCCATGGTCGGGTGGGCAGGATTCCGAGATGCCCTGCGCTCAAGTGCTAAATCCATTTTCGCCTGCGGCATCCCCGCAACTCTGACCTCGGAGATGCCCTGCCCCATGATGGTCTGGGATTTCCTGAACTCAGGTGGTCAGGTCATTTTCACCTTAAACATCCTCGCAACTCTGTGTGACCAGAGATGCCCTGCCACATGGTGGTCTGGCCAATTTCGCCTGCGACATCCTCACACCTCTGGTTTCCCAGATGCCCTGCGCTGAGGTGGTCAGGCCACTGTCGCATGAGACATCCTCGCAAGTCTGGGTTCCGAGAAGCCCATGTCTCCTGCGGCATCCCCGCAACTCTGACCTCGGAGATGCCCTGCCCCATGATGGTCCAGCCACTTTCGCCTGAGACATCCTCGCAACGGTTCTGAGATGCCCTGCGGAGGTGGGCAGGCCACTTTCGCCAGAGACGTCCTCGCAATTCTGACATCGGATATGCTCTGAGCTGAGGTGGTCAGGCCACTGTCGCCTGAGACAGAACTCGATGATGCCCTTGCCCATGATGGTCTGGCCACCTTCGCCCGAGACATCCTCGCACCTCTGGGTTCCGAGATGCCCTGCGCTGAGGTGGTCAGGCCACTGTCGCCTGAGACAACTCAGCAACTCTGGCCTCGGAGATACCCTGAGCTCAGGTGGTCCATCCACTTTCTCCTGCGGCATCCCCGCAACTCTGACCTCCGAGATGCCCTGCCCGATGGTGGTCCAGCCACTTTCATCTGGGACATCCTCACAGCTCTGGGTTCCGAGATGCCCTGCGCTCAGGTGGTCAGGCCCTTTTCGCCTGAGACATCCTCGCGTGATCTACATTACCGGAGCGCTGACCCCATCTTGTGTTGGATTGGTGTCATATCATGCCGCATCCCTTATGCGGGTATGGTGTTTCAGTTTGAGTGCCAGCCGCATTAGCTTCCTTCGTTCCCCTCGCTTCTCCCCTCATTCCTCTTTCCTGCTTATGTGTCCATCCCTCCTCCTCCGATGTTTCGACTCTGCGGCATGTGCATGTGCGTGTTATGTTTTCGGAGTTTTGCCAGACTGTGCATCCGACTGTGCATCGGACTGTGCGGCATGTGCGCACATGTGCGGCAGTGCTGTTGAGGCTTTTGTGGGGTTCCATGGGCATGTGCATTCGACTGTGCGGCATGTACCTGCATGTGCGGCCCCTTCTGAACTTCAATTTGCATGTGAGCATTATAGAAGTGAGCGCAATAGAAATAAGTCTAGCTAAAAGCATAAACAGGCGCCCCGTGTTCAAAACAGGGCGCTCGCATGCACTGCAGATCCATGGGACGATTCCCGCAGTGAAGAAGAGTTGCTGCCAGGACTGACGAGGAGGTGACTTGGGAAAGGAGGGTGCAGTACAGTATCGATGATGCATCTTGGACCTACTCTGGTCCTCGTTTGCCCTCCTCCCCCTCCTCCTCCTCCTCATCCCTCTCCTCTTCCCCTCCTTCATCATCCCTGTTTCCTCCTGTTTCTACTGGTTTCCATGTTATCCTCCTGCTTCTACTGCTCCTGCTTCCCCTGGACCAGACGGAGGGGGGATGGGATGACATGAGATGAGATGACCACTTCGTGCAGCGGGCACTAAACAAGCCAGCATGGAAGTGCAGGGGATCCTTAACCCCAGCCAGGAGGGGCCGCATCCCAGTGCACTCCCACGCCAACCTGTCCATCTCACTTGCGGCACAAGTCCACCGCCAAGGCGGACTCCAACCCCCTGGACGACCCCTGATTCATAGACGGCTGGGGTACAGACTCGCTATGGCTGCCTCTCTGGGCATGCGTCTGCCTGCCTGGAATAGAACTGTCCTGTAGCAACTGGATGATCGTCGCGTGAGCAACTTGGATCTCTGCGTGCATCTTCTGCAGGTCAAAATTGGTGCTGGCCCCCTTAAGCAACATGCACCCGTTCACAAAAGTACTGATATCAACCTGTCCGCCGTCGTTAGATGCCAGCGCCAACGATTCGAAAAATTCCACGATGTGGTGTTTCTTCAGCCCCATCATACTGAGTAACTTTGGGATGTGCTGCTTTCTCAAGCCCTCATCGAACTGCTCTTGTGTCAGCTTCCCTGAGCAGTCGGTGTCCACAGCCTTGCAGAGGCTTGTGAGCTCCTTGGCATGCTCACGCTCCTGGCGAACGTGTTCGCGGGCACGCGCCTCTGAGTCTGGTGAGAGCACTTTCATCGCCGAGTCCACAAATATACCCAGGATGATCCGCCACCGTGAGAGAGAAAAGTTGAAACGCAATATCCTGTCACTAAAGGGATAATATCAGAGAGAGAGAGAGAAGTTGAAATAGAACACCCTGGCGTGCGGGATAGATCCAAGCTTAAGATGTTCATCGACTCTCCTGTTGCCAAAACGCCGTCTTCTAGAAGAAGGTAGCGGGGTAGCATCACTAAGCATGTCTTCCGATCCACTTGCGAATATCGTAATGCCTAAAGAGCAAGAGGTGTATTTGCGCAACCTACCACCTGCCTGATTGATTATATGCAACACGTGAAAGTGAGGAGCAGTCCGAGACGGGCGCAAAATGCTCGAGGTTGGTTGCTCTCGGGACCCGACTTCTAGGTAACCTGCACGTGTGGCAATGGTGTGCCCCACGGCTCATACAGCTGTGCGTCGCAGAGGGACTGTCGTCTCGCTGGCGGCTTGTAGGATTCTGATATCCGGGCGAAGCGCGTCGGATGCAGTTGCTAGTACCGCACTTGTGACTATCGACTTCGGTGGAGCTCCCTGCCACGATGCTCTATGGGGCCACGAAATGTGCGACGGGTGTGCCGACATGGGCCTGGGCGCATGCGGGCCCTGCCACTGGGGCCTTCGGTGGAGCTCTCTATGGGGCCACGAAACGTGTGACGGGTGTACCGACATGGGCCTGGGGCGCATGTGGGCTGCGCCACCCCAGGCTTCGGTGGAGCTCCCTATTGGACCACGAAGCGTGCGAGGGGTGTGCGAGTGTGCCGAAACTGTGGAAACACGAAACGTGCGGGGTGTGCCGACATGAGAAGGGAACCGCCTGCGACCCCCCTCCTTCGACGGCTTCGGTGGAGCCCCCTTCTGGGGCCACGAAACGTGTCAGGGGTGTGGGGGAGGAAAACCGTGGAGAACCGCATGCGAAACCATCCTCGCGAGGCTTCGGTGGGGCTCTCTGAGGACCGGTGGGGCCACGAAGCGTGTGAGGGGTGTGGGTAATCGCATGCCCCACCCCCCCCCGCCTTGCGGGCGTCGGTGGAGCGCCAGGGATGAGGAGAACCACATGCAAAACCTCCTCCTGTGTGGCCTCCAGCGGCGCTGCCTGTGGGGCCACGAGGTGCGTCAGGGGTGTGGAGAGTCAGGCGCACCCCCCCTCCTCATGGGGGCATCGGTGGAGCTTTCCATGGGGACACACAACGTTTGAGGGGCGAGTGAAAATCACATGCGAAACCCCATCCCGGGGACTTCGGTGGAGACCTCTTTGGGGCCACGGAGCGCGCGAGGAAAACTGAGAATCACATGCCAAACCCCACCCGGGGGTGAAGTGGACCTCCCTATGGGGCCACGAAACGTCAGGGGTGCGAAGAACCACGTGCAAAACCCCATCCTAAGCACTTCGGTGGAGCCTCCCATGGGGCTACGAAACGTGTGATGGGCGTGGAGAACCACAGGCCAAGCCCCCTCCTGGAGGCTTCGGTGGAGCTCCCTATGGGGCCGCGAAACGTGTAAGAGGTGTGCCGAAATGTCCGCGCGCAGGGCAGAGGCAGGGATTGGGAGGAGGGAGGAGGGAAGGGGAAGAGAGGAGGAGGGGAGGACGCGAGGTGGTGTCTATTCAAAACGATGACCCAAAACCACAGGATGGTTGGGACACATCCAGGGCTATGCCAAAAACAAGCTCGGCGCTCCCCGAGTGTGTCGGCGCGCGCTGGGCGAGCCCTAGGGACGCCACAACGATTCCAAGAGTGCCCTAAGACGGGCCGAAGGGGCCTCAAGAGGCCCCCAAGACGGTCCAAGAGGGCCCCGAGTCGCCCGATGATCGCTCCAAGACGCCCAATATGGCTGCAAGACACCCCCAAAGGCCCCCAAAACACCTCAAGGAGGGCTCCGAGATGCCTCCTAAGAGGGACCCGAGAGGTCAAAGCTTTGACTTCACTTAAGCGGTTGAAGAATGTTAGCGGCCTTGCCTTTTTCGGGCTTCCGCAATGGCCTCCACGATCGCCCCAAACGCCCCAAGAGGATCCCAGACGGCCTAAGACAGCCCAAGAAAATTCCCAAGACGGCCCCGGCAGGGCACCAAGAGGGAGAACTTGAACTGGTATTTCGCGCCCCCCGCTCCAAGATGACCCCCGAGACCGCCAGCAGGCCCCCAAGATGCCTTCCAGAAGCCCCAGGAAGCCCCCACGAGGCCCAAATCAAGCCCCAGGAGGCCCCCAAATAGGCCGCCGAGAGGCCCCAAGACACTCCCAAACCAGCCTTTCGATAGGCCTCCCAAAATATCCCCATGTTCATCCAAGGTGCCTCTGGCCTGAAACAACCCAGTCAAGCACAGTGGCGGGATGGACCAAAGACCACCACTAGACCTGGGCCGGCACGGAAACGGAACGAGCGCCTCAGGCACTCGCCCGAGATACCTCATGGCACCCTTCGCTCTTGGGAGCCTTGGTGTGGAGAGCTTGTTGCGTCGCCGTCTCCGTTGGGAGCCCTGGTGTTCAGAGATTGTTACGTTGCCGCACGTTCCTGAGCCTTGGCTGGGCCTTGGTGTCAAGAACTTGTGGGCCGTTTGAGGTCCTCTTTTGGGGCTCTTGGGGGCCTCTTGGGAAATCCTGGGGGCCTCTTGGGGGCCTCTTGGGGCTTCTTGGGAGGCTCTTGGGACCTCCTGGGAGCGTCTTGGGGCGAAAGGCTAGACTTTTCGGCTCGTGCTCCCCCTCTTGGGGCCGCCTTGGGGCCCTCTTGGGCCGTCTTGGGCGCCTCTTGGGCCGTCTTGGCGCCTCTTGGGCCGTTTGGGGGGCCTCGTAGGAGCCTGTTGGGCCGTCTTGGGGCGGTCTTGGGGGCCTCTTGGACCGTCTTCAACGCCGTGAGAGCCGAAAAGCCGTATGCTAAAAATGCATATTTCCCCAAAGGAATTGCAAGATTTTGGCCTCCTGGGGGCCTCTTGGGGCGCCTCTTGGGGGCCTCTTGGAGCTTCTTGGGAGGCTCTTGGGACCTCCTGGGAGCGTCTTGGGGCGAAAAGCTTGACTTTTCGGCTCGTGGTCCGTTTGGGGGCGGTCTTGGGGACCTCTTGGGCCGTCGTCAACGCCGTGAAAGCCGAAAAGCCGTATATGCAAAAAATGTGTGTTCCCCGATGGGAAATCAATGATTTTGGCCTCCTGGGGCGCCTCTTGGGGGCCTCTTGGGGGCCTCTTGGGGCCTCCTGGGGGCTTCTTGGGGCGAGAGGCTAGACTTTTCGGTTCGTGTTCCCCCTCGTGGGGCCGGCTTGGGGCCCTCTTGGGCCGTCTTGGGCGCCTCTTGGGCAGCCTTGGGGCCCTCTCGGGCCGTTTTGGGGGCCTCTTGGGAGCCTCTTGGGCCGTCCTGGGGCGGTTTGGGGGGCCTCGTGGACCGTCGCCAACGCCGTGAGAGCCGAAAGGTTGCGCATGCTCAAAATGCACGCTTCCCTAAGGAAAATCTGGGGACCCTCTTGGGGCGCCGCTTGGGCGCCTCTTGGGGCGTCTTGGAGGCCTCTTGGGTCGTCTTGGGCGGTCTTCGGCTCTTTTGGAGCGCTCTTGGGGCCCGCCTTGGAGGTATCTTGGGCCGTCCTGGGCCCCTCGTGGACCGTCTTGAGCGCCCAAGACGGCCCAAGAAGCGCCCAAGAGGCCCCCAAGACGCCCCGAGCGGCCATTAACACTCACCCCCTCCCTAGAGGGCTTCGCCCAAACACAACGTCATCACTCGTGCCTCGCTCTTTCCGTTACCTGGGCAGGCACGGAAACAGAACGAGCGCGTCCTGAACTTGCCCGAGAGGGCTCATGGCACCCTTCGCTCTGGGAGCGTTGGTGTGAAGAGCTTGTTACGTCGCCGTCTCCGCTGGGAGCCCTGGTGTTCAGAGACTTTTACGTTGCCGCTCGCTCTTGTGAGCCTTGGTGTGACGAGCTTTTTACGTCACCGCGCTCTGGGGAGCCTTGGTGTCAAGAGCTTGTTGCGTCCCCGCTCGCTGACGGGAGCCATGGTGTTCTTGAGCGTCTCTTGGGCCTCTTGGGGGTATTCTGGGGGCCCGTGTGGAGCTCTTTTGGGGCTCTTGTGGACCAATGTTGGACCGCCTTGGGGCCCTTTTGGGCCGTCTTGGGGCGTCGTGGAAGCCTTCGGCCATCGTGGGGCTCTCTAGGGTGCCTCTTGGGGCCCTTTTGGGAGCCTCTTTGGTCCCTCTTTGGGCCTCTCGGGGCTCTCTTGGGGCCGTCTTGGGGCCCTCTTGCGCCGTCTTTGGCCGTTTGGGGCTCCTCTGGGGCCGCCTTGGGGCCCTCTGGAGCCGTGTTCGGACCCGTTCGGGGGCCTCTTGGGCCGTCTTGGGGCGATCTTTGGAGCCTCGTGGGCCGTGTTGGACCGTCCTTGGACCCAAAAAGCAAGAACCCCAAACACCTGCAAACATCATAGCAAAATCAATGTTTTTTGCCCCTGGGGGCGCTCTCGGGGGCCCTCTAGAGGGCCTCTGGAGCCGTCTTGAGGATCTGTTGGTCCGTCTGGAAGCTATTTAGGGCTCTCTTGGTGCCGTCTTGGTGCCCGCTTGGGCCGATTAGGTGCCCTCTTGGGCCGTCTTGGGGCCGTTGAACCAACTCACTCGTAAAAATCAAAAAGAAACGATCCGTGGAACGCGAGCCGCTTCATTCGAAACAATACCAGGGAAACGGCACCCCAGCGGCCATTAACAGCCATGCGCTCCTCCCCTGGACCCCTCCCTAGAGGGCTTCGCCCCACCTGAACGTCATCGCTCGTACCTCGCTCTTTCCGTCATCTGCTTGGCACGGGGACGGAAAGCGCTCGTACTCTGAGGGCGCGAGATCGCTTGCTCAGTGCATTGGATCCCTCACACACACACACACACACACACACACACACACACACACAAAAAAAAAAACACTAACAACCAAAATTGCGGAAATGAATGAATATGGCCTGTGGGCATTCTTGGGGTTCTTGTTGGGAACTCCTTTGGGCCCTCTTGGGCCCCTCTTGGGTCGTCCTGGGGCCCTCTTGGGCAGTCTTGGTGGGCTCGGGCCGTCTTGGAGCCCTCTCGTGGCCCTCTGGGGCCCTCTTCAGGACCGCCTGTGGCCCTCTTGGGGCTCTCTTGGAGCTGTTTGGAGCCCTCGGGGGCCTCTCTTGGGGCTCTCGGCCCGTCTTGGAAACCTCTTGGGCCGTCTTGGGCAAGTATTGAAGCAGTATTGGGGGCCTCTTGCGCCGGCCTGGGGCGATCCTGGGGGCCTCTTGGGCGGTCGTGGGCGCTGTGAAGACCACAGACGCAGTTATGCTAAACATGTCAGCTTTCCGATGGGAATGGGACGATTTGGTGGTTCTTGGGCATCCTTCTGGAGGCCTCGTGGAGGGTCTTGAGGGCCTCGTTGGCCGTCTTGAGGCCATTTTGAAGGCCTCGTGGAGCGTCTTAAGGACCTCGTTGGCCGTCTTGAGGCCTTCCTAGGCCCTCTTTGAGTGCTCTCGGACCGTCTTGGGGCCCTCTTGGGCCTCCCTGAGACCGTCGTGGGAGTAGCTTGGGGCTGTCTTGGGCCGTCTTGGGGCCCTCTGAGGCGCTCGTGGGGCTAACTTGGGCCGTCTAGGGCCGACCATGCCCGAAAATTGCGCCATTAGATCTGGGGCCGCCGAGGCCAAACCCCTCACACTCCCTCTTGTTAGTTTGCCGGCTAACGGATCGTGACGCTACGCGCGCTTTCCGCCATCCGCCGCCCCCTGTGGTCTTGCCATGGGGGTGCACGGCGTGCCAGACGTCTGGGGTGCTGGTTCTTTTCTGAGAGACTCTTGCTGGGGCTTCGACCCCGCCCGCTGGGCACCCGGAACCCTCATGGCCACCCACCTCACGTCTGCTGGTTTGATGAAGATGGGCTCAGGATGGTCTCGAAGCCGGGCACGATGGTCCCCAAGACGGCCACGATGGCCCCACAAGAGCCCAAGATGGCGCCAAGATGGCCTCCAAGACGGTCCCGAGATGCCTCCAAGACCGCCAAGATGGTCCAAGAGAGCCCACGACGGCCCAAGGAACGCCCAAGAGGGCCCTAAAGCGGCCCAAAAGGCCTCCAAAAGGTCATGCAGAAGGCCCGAAGAGGTCAACATCAAATCCGTTGGTGTTTGACGGATTCCGGCATTTGCATCAAAACTGCCTTCCAACTGCCCGAGACGGACCAAGAGGCCCCAACGATTGCCCCAAGATCGCCCGAGAGACCTCCAAGATGGCTCCAGGACGACCCAAGAGGCTCCCAAGACGGCCCCCAAAAGGCCCCAAGACGGCCCACGAGGCTTCGGAGACGCCCCAAGACGGCTTCCGACAGCGTCAGACGGGCCAGGAACGCCGTAAGACTGCCAGAGAGGCCCCCAAGAAGCCACCGGAGTCCACCAAGAGGCCCAAGGAGGCCCCCAAGAGGGCTCCAAAAGGGCTCCCAAGAAGCTCCCCCGCATCCTCCGTTGTCCTCCTTCTCCTCATCCTTCTATTCCTCCCCCACGTGATCCCCGAATGGATTCCACAACGGCTGTGAGAACACATGGTCCGATAGCGTGGACAATCTTTGCCCAAACCATTGACCACATAGGCGTATCGTAAAAGGCAGGGGGCGGCAGTGATTCGCCATAGGCGTCTGCGATATTCAGTAGGTTCAACTGCACAAACGCAATGAATACTAAGAACACACAACTCGCAATCGGACCTGCTCGCTCTATCACACGGTACGTACCATTCCAGTCATCGCCACCCGTTGTTACCATAAAAAGCGTCTTGATTGAAAGTCCGACCGAACCGAACAGCGGGCCAAATGCGGTATCATCGATAGCTTCCCCTGTTGCGTCGATGTGTGTGGTGATGACCGACATGAAGAAAAGCGAGAATATCCCGTAGATAGAGAAAAGCATAATCACACTCCACAGGAAGCTCCCGAGTGAACCATGAATGCAAACAAGGAACACTTGCAGATATTTCAACCTGTACATGATCTCGAACGCCCGGATCACATTTGCGAACTGGAGAAAGCGCAAGACCCTCATCAAGCTCAGCCGGAGCGTGGCGTCCAGCACCAGGGTGGCCGCATCAGAGAGGCACACGAGCATGTCGAGTACGTTGGTCTTCCAGTCGGCTCTGCAGAAGAAGAAGAGTCTGTGCACGGTGATCTTGAGGGCCAGCTCGAGACAATAGATGACGAAGAACACCCACTCGGCGGCCCGCAGGCTCCGGTCGGACGGGGTTCTGATCCGAATGTTCGCCTCGAAGACCATGAACCAGATGTTGACGAAGATCACGGCGCCGATGAACAGCTTGAAGCCCATGCCATCCACGAAACGGGCGAGCCGCCCCGATCGCTGCGGCTCCTCCTCCATGCCCTTCAGCAGAAACCACATCAAGCGGCGCAATTTCAGCGACACCGATTTCGACTGCTGGTTCACTGTTACTTGTAGATCGTCTTGGTTGTCTCCATCTTGGTCGTCTTCGTCTTCGTCTCCGTCGCAGAGACTGTCACCATCTTCGCCTTGCACCTTGTGCAGGGCCTCGACCATCCGAATATTCGAATCGTCGCAGTTGTATCGAGGCACCTGAGCGTCATTGCCTGGATCTGCTGGAGTCACGCCCTTGTCGTCATTCGCGCGCTCGCCCTCCCTACCGGAAAACGCCGGTCGGAGGGCCGCCTGCTCACCAGAACAGCCGAACCAACCCTGCAGGACTGCAGCAACTTCCACCCGCACTACCTCTCGCATGGGCCCGCTGAGGCAGTCCTGCAGCTCTGCTCGCACGGCCGAGCGCACAGCGTCGACGCGCGGCTCCAGGAACTCCGGCTGGGGCGACGGCAGTCTGCCCAGGGGGTCCATTCTGGCGGAAGCGACGCTGCTGGTTTGGATCTTGTTCCTGGCGCTGCCGCCGTGGGGAGCTCTGGCGGAGGATCTCCCCAGGTCCCCGTGCGTGTTCGCAGGAATCTGGTCGTGAGCCTGCGGCGACGCGGGCAGCGTGTGTTCAAGCTCCGTCAT